AGCATTCTTTTTTTTCTTCTTCTGCTTCATTTTTTGGGTTCTAGGGAATGAACTCAGGAGCATTCAACCATTGAACTTTATTTTGTATTTTTATTTAGAGACAGGGTCTCACTGAGTTGCTTAGAGTCTCACTTTYGTTGAAGCTGGCTTTGAACTCGAGATCCTCCTGCCTAGGCTCCAAAACCACTGGGATTACAGGCATGTACCACCATACCCAGCCTGAAGCRTTCTTATAGAAAATAATTTATATAATAAATTGAATTGGTCCTAGGATTAAAAGTGCTATCACATCCTGAAAATGACCTGATAATAAAATTTAGTTCAATGTTTGAGACAACAAATTAAGTGTCAATATATTGAAAAGAATAGTATTATAGTTTTTCTCTGCTTTGTGAAATATCTCCTTTATCCTTGGCCTCATTGTAAACCAAAAAATCATTATGATTTGGCAAAAAAAAATTGAAATGGAAGACTACCTTTGGCATATGTTGAATGTCACATGACCCCTATGTGTCTGGAATGTAGCAGAGGTCAAGAAGTGCCACACAATTTTGTATTCTGAGAAATGAACACCCTGCTCTTATATATTCTAAGATAAGACTACTTCTCTGCTTTCTCAGAGAGAAGGTGGCACTTTTTCCTGCCTCTTTGAAACTCCTGGATCCCTTCCTTTTCTCTGAGATTTACTCATTAACATATGTCCTTCCTATTGCAACATCCTGAAGAAAAATCTTCTCCTTAAATAACTGGTGTGTTTTGTCTTTAAATTTCATTAAAAGAGAGAAAAGTGTCTTAAGTGCYTTGTTATATTTAGGGAAATCAAATTGCAGTTGGAAGGTGATATGACTTTGAAATTAAGCAAAACTTTATAGAATGAGAGAGTGTTTTAATGCAATGCTTACAGGGAAAGGAAAAGAGAAGGTGGCTCAGTTCCATAAGTGAGATAATTGGAGTAAAACATTGGCGGCTTTGCCTAAGGCCCTGCTAGGAATTAACAGCTGCCCCAGGTACAAAACTGTAGTTGAAATAGCACCTTCCTATTGCTTCTTTGAGAGTATTATTTGATTTCACCGGAATGTTTACCTTAACAATGATTAAAGAATTATCTAWAATTTCTTTCCTCATTAATCTCCATGTTAAAAATATTAAACATGTACCGGGTTGTGAATGTGTTTGTGTGCSTGTGATCTGAACAAGCTTATGAGTGGCATCATAAGAAAAGGTAGATATGAAGGCTAACCTATCTGCAAGGTCACAAATTATGATTTTTGTGGCAACTTATATGTAAATATTTGTATTCCCACTTAGTCTTCTATTTGAAACATGGCAAGGGCTTTGTAGAGGCAGCATCTGTTAAGGAAGGAAGAAGGCTGCCTTAATATCAGCATTTTATACAGTGCCAAAACTTTCATTATAAAAAGGGAATGCCAGTTTTCTTGAGASGGTGGGAATTAAGTAGGGTCGGGTTGAGGGAATTCCAGCTCTGCTTGGAGACAAAAATGAACTCAAAATAGGAAAGGTTTCTTCTTGCAGAAATCTATACTCCAGAACTTCTGGGTAGACAAGGGAGAATCAGGTTCTAGGGGCACATAGGAATTCTTACAAATAAGTGCTGAAATTTGAATATGGTTAGACATTTCATTTGTTGATCAAATAATTTTGCTTTTGGATAATCTTTATGTTACAAAATTGCAGCACATTATAACGCAAAATAGGAAATAACACTCATGTCCACAGGTGGAGATGGGTTAAGTAAATTCTGGTGTATCCATTCACCAAACTACTACTCCGTATATGAAAATTAGTTTGTAGGAACGAAGGCAAAGAAAGTTGTTTATAATCCAGGGTAGAATATTTGGCTTCAAATTGCATAATTTAGACATATTCTTCAATAGGATTTAAATTGTGTATGCAGGGACCATGTCCATATTTTGTTACAGCATCCCCAACAGACAATGCAGGGTTTATTACAAAGCAAGTGTTTAAACTAGTAAATTGAAATATATGTACAAAATTATTCCTTTGGAAAAAAATCTTAATTTATGCAAGGGAAACCTCTTAAGAATATACTTTAAAATATTAACTTTAACTCTGGGTGGATTTTATTATTTTTTGCCAACTGGCATTTTTAATTTTTAAAATAATGATACTATTGGTTATTCTAATCAGAATAAAAGCAACAAAACTAAGTTAAAAGTATAGGTTTTCTAGAGCAGTCTTTATAAAATAGCCCATTTCTATATTTAGGTAGTTTACAAGCTGGCTGGCTTTTTCTTAATCTTAGAAAGCAGCTTATTTTCCCAAATCCTCACATTTTATCCAGGATTATCCATCAGTGAACAATCATATACAGTCTGTTCAGGATTGTGATCAGTATATGAAGTGAAAATTAACAGGAGGTATCTATTGTATGATTTCGATCATTTATATATTTTCCAGGTAACTGTGGTTTCATTCCTGCAATAGAAATGAAAGCAGAAATCTTGCTGCTTCCTAGGAGRGAGGAGGCAAATAGAAACAGTTCTGTCTTCAAAACCACCAATTTGAGGAGAAGAAGAAAGCAAGTAAAATCCTGGAATCTCATTCTGAATGCTGTAATAATTCTCTGGAGCAGTCAACATATTTATTACTGGAAAATGCAATGCCTGTATTATTAGATATTAACAAAAGTTACATTTGATTGGCCAACAATTATTTATCAGTGCTTCTCAAGAAGAATGCATATGTATTCTGATGGAGCCCTTCTCTAGCCTAGACTGCCAAATGTATGCAGTGATGCATTTGGTGTAAAATAGTAAAATGAATATGCATGGGGGCTTCATTAAACATTTTAAATGTTATACTTCAAAATAGATGAACACCAGCAATGTTTGAAGAACCAGGAAATTAGAGGAAGAGAACATTATAGATTTTTCTACTCATTTGTTGATTCATATTCTCTCTCTCTCTCTCTCTCTCTCTCTCTCTCTCTCTCTCATCAATTATACACAGAACTTGTCAAAATAAGAAACATAATCAAACTCAGCACTCTGTTGAAAAATACCTACAAATTGCCAACCACCCAGGATATTAATCTGTGCTGTATTATGAAAATATAATCCTACAACAATACTATCCCTATTACATCAAGCTTAAAAGCAATTAAATAGTTCTTAAAATTTATTTACAGTCTACAATTAAATGGAGAAGGGTTTAAATAAATTATATTAGTTTAATTTTGGATGACAGCTTAGAAAAATATAATGCTTAGGAAATTTTGGTAATGGAAAAATTGTATTAAGAAAGTAGAATGAAGTATCTAAGAATTATCCTGCCCATGAGGAAAGTCATAATAAAGAGAGAATTTTCCCTTTAATCTTTTGCAYCAGGAGGAAGCCAATTTTTTTAAAAAAAATCCTCCCCATGTAACGTTAGAGACCCCAAACCAATGTTGTTGATCAACAAGCAGGAAGTTGTTTGTTTCCTCACCTGGCATAAAATAATTCAAATAATTTTGTTTTACTTTATGGAGAAATAAACTCCAGTATTTCAGTATTACTGAAAGTAATACAGYAGTTTATTTCTCCAAGTTCAATTCCAGCAGCCAAAATAGGAAGGGGACATAGTCACATTTCTTGCCAAGAGCTCTTCTCTAAACCATGTCTTCTCCACAAAATGCTCAGTTCAGAAGCATAATATCTCCCATCTGCAAAACACGATTATTGGAGGTTTTTCTACTTAACATTTCTTTAATACTCACTTGACCTGATTTACTTGGCTCAACCAAGTTACTGAAGATTACTAATGGATACATACATTCCATTCAGTCTTCTCCCTCAATGTGATATCTGAAAGCATCTGCTGTTGTTGATAACTTGAGATCCACATTCTTTTATAGATGTTCTTTTCTTCTTTCAGCCTTCACTTTGYAGACCCAGCACAGTGTACCTCCCATCGTATCAGCATCTACTATGCCAATTCATTATTATTCCTGCTAGTCTGAGTGCTCAGGGATGGAAAGAATAGGTAATTTCATATTTGATGAACATAACACTGAATAAAGTGTCTGTCACATGTTGGTTGTCAATCAACATTTGATTTAAAAAGAGTCATCAGGGGCTGGGATTGTAGCTCAGTGGCAGAGCGCTCACCTAGTACATGCAAGGTGCTGGGTTCGATCCTCAGCACTGCATAAAAATAAATAAATAAAATGAAGGTATTGTGTCCAACTACAAGTAAAAAAAAAGTATGTATTTTAAAAAAGAGTCATCAAAGACCTCAAAAAAGCTATAAAAGCTATACCTCATCTAAAAAACGTTAGATCCTGTTATTGGTGATGGAAGTAWTAATTTAATATGAGGAGTGAAGATTGAGTGAAGTTTATATTTTTTCCACATTTTGGACTCCATAATATATGAATCTCAGTAGTTAGAGGTAAGAGAAGGAAGTCTTTCACAGGACTCCTGGCTTGATGTGGATGTCCTTCCCTAGGAGAATATAGCTTTGTCAGGTAATCTATCACTTGGTGGATACTAAGAAATAAAAATTTATCCTTGAATTAATGTCACAGGCCAACTTTATTCTCTGGTTGAATAAAGRACATTCTCATTGAGAGAGAAGAATGGTCCAGATGAAATAGTTACAAAGCCCTTCCCTATGGAAATGTTTTTTCCAAAATACAATTGCCTGTCACTCTCATTACTGTTTCAAAGTTCTCCTAGGACTTTGAACTCTTTCCTAGACGTAAATCAGTCCGTTTTTAAATCTTCTTTAGGCCAGGAGACATAACTGACTCCCTCCTAGGTCAAGTTAGTATGGTCCAATTCATGTTCAACAGGTTTGCTTTTTAAACATATTCTGATTCCAATACAGATTTTGTACATTAGAAATTCCTCTTTGCACTGGGGATGTGGCTCAGTGGTGTGGCACTTGCCTCTTATGTGCAGTACCCTGGCTTGGACCCCCAATCCCTACCCCAACCCCCYAAAAAGGGAGAGAAAAATAAAAAGCGAGGCTTCTCTTTATACATATACACCCCAGTAAATCAAATTAAATATTATATATACAATGGGAAATAAAATTCTAGAATAGGTGTCAATGGCATGGTTGTTGTCCAGGATGATTCTACCGATGTTACCTCCCAGGGATTTTCTTCTCTTTATGCGAGATGAATCTGTGCTGGGGCTCCCTGTGGATCGTCCTCTCAAGGAGCCCTCTTCTGAGTGTAAAGAAAWGGAAGTCTGATCCATGTCAGTCTCACTGTCATGGTAACAACCATCGAAGGCCATGGCTTCAACTGCATCAATATTATATATTCCAGAAATCTGTCAGAAAAGACTTTTTTTTAGTAGGTCAGGAATATAGTTTTATGAATAGGAATTATAGTAAAAATGTAAATGAGATTTTTAAAATAGTTTCTATAGCTAAGAATGTTTTGCCTGTAATAAAGAATAGAATTCTACCTTTGCTTCTTGCATCTGACTACAAGTCATTTTAATAATAAATGGAAAACACTGTCTTGCAGACTTGCACATACTGATTTAGTAAGGAAATTTAAATTTATTCCCATAGAGGTAGTTGAGCATCATACAAGTAAATGTCACACTACCATAATGCCAATGTTTTCTAATTTAGTCCTGGCCTGCTAGACTATTACTCCTTGTGCATATTTTCCTCTTTCTTTTTCTTTTTTTTTTTCTTGGAATAGTACGAATCGTTTAACATAAGTTTGTGAGTTAAAGTTGAATATGATTTATCAGAACATCAATGTAAGGCGATTGGATTTGCTTTTCAACTTATTTTTCCTCTTGAGAGAGAATATAGCAGTATGCCCAGTCAGTGTGATTTTTGTCCCCAAACAGAACATATCATCCATTTATCTTAAAAATGCAAATTAGTCTGGTCTTCTATTTTTTCTTAAAAGCACCTATAAATGATGCTAATACAGCCCAATAAACATGAAGTTGACCTTTTTTTTTTTAAGGAACAAATTCTGATTGCATCTGGCTTTTGTATCTGATTGAATCTGAACTGAAATTTTTCTTTAAGGTTTTACTCTGAGGAAGATAGTTGTGCTCACTAGTATAGGATAATATCTAGGAAGCAGTGGTTAGTAATTGTTTTTTGATAAGACAAAATCACTTCTTGATCTATAGGAAAGTTGAAAAATGAGCAAAGATAGAGAGGCTACTCTAGAAAAAATTATTCAGAGTTGATATCAGAGGCTGCAGAGTAAGTCCTTTCAAGATATGTATTTGGTTTATAAAAACCTAACATTTTACTGAATTCAAAAGACACGAAGGCTATGTTGTGTAGTCAGTGAACTAATCAGGGACCCATACTTTGAGTGGGGTTGTCCCTTTTTCTTTTAATTGTAAATATTTTCCATAATAAAATGAAAATGGACAAAATAACCATGCAATGAGATCAAGACTGAATAATGACTTTAGGTAGTCAATAATATTAATAATATATTCAACTATTGATCTGAGCACGGAAAAACTATGAATAGCTTCATCAGTGGTTTCCCTAGCCATCCAGAACACTGCTGAGTCATCATACTAGCAGATTGCTTTTTTAGCTGAACAAAATTGTCATTAGTGTGATAAAAGAAGACAAATCTTGGAAGAACAAGGGTGTCATTTTCTTTCTCTATTATGATAATCTAACATGTAATTGATTAGAGCTTGTAGTCTTTACCAACTTTCCAACAGGGCTGCTATTTTTCACAAGTTTATAAGTCACTTGTCCAATAGAAGGAGTTTTAGAACTGGTCTCTCATTTTTCATTTCAGGCTATAGATAAGCACATAGCTAAGGCATATTTCATATAAGCTATTATATATATATATAAAACTATTTTAGACTGAGTTCTAGGTCCTGGAATTAGGAAAACATTTGGGTAAGGGATAAGAAAAAAGTGCCTTCCTTTCTCCTTACYGGACAAAGACCAATACTAGAGATAATTTTTCCATGGTCCTTTGCTGTTCTCTGAGTTCTTGATATCTAACGGGTGTGAGAGCAGCAGAGGTGGTGGTGGTGGTGATGGTGGTGGTAAGAAGGAGCTTTGCCTGACTTCATGATTTCATGGGGAGGATCTCCACTGGCCCAACATTCTAAGGCCTTTCTCACCATCCCTCAACCATTCCCCACTAGATGTCTGGGGAAAGGAGCTGGCATGTGTGACTCAGACCCTTCTGAGTCTGCACTTTGGGATCCACATTTGTACCAGGTCTGTTTTCTGAAATGATGTAAAAGGAGACAGACCCAACAGGGGGAACCCTAAATTGTTTAGTTTTGCTAGTGAGGAAAAGAGTAAGTACTTTTAATTCAGTGATGAAATAAATATTAGTGAGCCCTGCTCTCTGATCTAAGCAACATTCAACAAACTATGTTATCAAAAACTAAGGTGACATAGTAGCCAAATGTATGACTCTCACATCTTGCTCTTTCTTTGAAGCTGGTTTCAATTCAACTTTAGCCCCTAAACCTGTAGACATATGCTTCTACCTCCTTTCTAGGGCAGCCTACTCCTTCAAAATCCTCTCATCTCCAGCAGCCTTTGTCTACTATCCCTATGGAAACTCTTGCTCCTTTAAACTATATGCTCTTAACACCAATTGTAGTAAGAACATTCACGTGCACTTTATAGTTTACCGAGATTTCATACCCATGCATTATATCATTTGACCTTCACAACAGCTCTGTGAGATAAAYGAGTCAGCCTAGAACACAAAGCTGGGAACTGATAGAATTCTGTCTGGCATCCTTTCTTCTAAATCTAGATCACTTCTTCATTTCCTCCCATGGGTCTATGACGGTAAGTAAGAAAATTTCTTTGGGATAACTGTACCTTTAAGGGGAGAATGCTTAGAATGGTGGTTTCCAGGGGGTTTGGGGAGGTAAAAATGAGGAGTTCTTTAAGGGAAGTTTCAGTTCATTAGAAAAATCTTTGGAGATTGATTATGCAACAACAGGAATAGACACTACCACACTATACATTTTAAAATAATTAAGATGGGAAATTCCAGGTTGGGCATGGTAGTGCATGTACTGTAACCCCAGCTACTTGGTAGACTGAGTCAGGAAGATCACAAGCTCAAGTCCAGCTTGAGTAACTTAGTGCAACCCTGTTCAAAAAGAGATGGGAACTTGTAAATTATGTGTATTTTACCATAATTAAACAATTTTTAAAACATTAAAAATCATTAAAGCATTAAAATGCTTATTAACTCAAAAGAATCTCTTCATTTTCATACTTAAGAAAATTCTGTATGATATTATCAAATGAAAAAAAAAAAAGCCAGGTAGCAAGAAAATGCACGTTGTGTGGCAGGTGACAACAGGGAAACATGGATATTTTGGAGTCAAAGGACTAGATGAGGTTGTCCAAAACTACTTTCATGCCTATTTCTTGGGTTTACAACTTTCCAAATTGAAACAAAACAAAAACAAAATTCTTTCCCTCTTTACACATTTTTTTTCCCATCACTGCTTACTTCACAGATTATCCAAATCAGTGCTATTCTGAGTGTGGCTAATGGACCAATAGCATCAGTATCACCTGGAACTTGTTAAAAATGCAGATTCTCAGGTTATGCCCAGACCTGTTGGGTCAGAGTCTTGACAAGAATGCTGCAGGTGATGTGTACACACCACTGTGGCACATGGTTAATCTAAAAGCTCTCGGTTTCCTCACACCTGCATAACACCTCACCATACGTGTGTGTGTGTGTGTGTGACACATGGCCCCATGCTGTCAACAAAATAATTGTAGCATCTGCAATAAAACAAAATCAGCTCTTATTAGAACTTTGACTCAAGAGATATAAAATGAAAGAATGAAGTCAGCAGCCCAGGAAATCTGAATTGCAATGGCAGCTCCGTTTACCCTGAGCCTTCTGGCAAATCTCTTTACTTCACTGAAACTCTTCTTCTTCATTTATAAAATAGAGATAAGAATCCCTGTGAGACCCACATTGGGGAATGGATATGAACTTTCAGATCAGGAAGATGATGTAAAAGCACTCTGAAAGTACAAAATGCTCAGTAAAAAATCCAAAAGTTATTAAATAATATTCTGAAGTAAAAATAATAACATATATATGAATGTACACATACACACAGTCTCTTAAATAGGCTAGCAAAGGAATGAATCTTACTAGTTAGGATTTGAAATACAATATTTTATGTTAGTTCTCACAAGAACAGGGAATTGATGTCCAAATCCTTGTGAAATGAACCAGAGAGAAATCTATCCATATTTATAAAGCAATCTCCCTCCCTTGCCCCTCTCTCACACACACAAACACACACACACACAGACACACAAACACACAATAATACATACAGCCCACAAGTCACCTTATTCCTAGGATTTGGTGGGGGGAAAACTTCCATCTTTGCTATAGCACTTTTCTGAYTGAAAGGAAGAGAAAAATATATTCCATCTCTTGGTGGAGAGAAATACCATTCATTGTTTGAAAGGATAGCATATGGAGTCAAAGAGATTCAGAAGCAAACCCTGATTCCCCTTTATATGTGTGACCTTGCCTGCACTTATTCTGCCTCTCTGAAATGAGGGTTATAAAATACTGACCTCTTGGGGTTACTAGTAGAATTAAATTACATAATATGTGTTAGAAAGTTGGCATTATGTCGATATATTATGACCATTTATGCTATGTTAGCTATCATCATCATCATCATCCACTTCAGAGGCTGTGGTTTGTGCAACAATCTCTTTTTTTCAAAGGGTACAGTCAGGGGAGAGGGGCACACTCAGAGAAATCCTCTGTGCACAAAAACTCCCCATAAAGTGAATGAGGATGCTGAGGAAACCAGTCAAAGCAGAACAGAGATTAAAGTTCAAAATTAAATTGTCACTCTCCTGTAAATCTGACAACTTGCCAAGGCACATAGACTTAATACAAGGGCTTGTAGTTCTGTTGGGAGAGGGTGATAGAAGGGGATAGGGTTTCCCACTTTGCAAAGGGATCTGATAGTCAAAGCAAGACAGTACCTTCCTTCTGTTCTTGAATTGCTTTTGATCTTCCAAAGTGGTGAGGTAATTCACAGCTGCATACTCAATGACTGACAGAAACACAAAGAGGGAGCTGACCCACAAGTACACATCCACAGCCTTGATGTAGGACACCTGGGGCATGGAGGCACTCACGCCAGTGATGATGGTGGACATGGTCAGCACTGTGGTGATTCCTGCCATTCAAGAATAAGGACAAGCTTAGTGACACAGTCATTCATTTCCTGGATTTGGTGGTGGCTCCACCCAGCTGGTGCCTTTCTAGAACAAGATCAGTCTGGAGATTAGCAATGGGAGGGATGGATCTCTGCATTTTAATCTGGTAGCTCAAGAAGCTCTCATTGGCTATTTCCACATCTTTTCCTTGCCCTCACTCCTATTGTCCACCATGCGTCCTTTCTTTCATCTAGAAACACAGAGCAAGGCATATCTTCCTCCTGCCCTCAGATGGACTACTTCTAATCATCCCAGATAGGTAAAAATGTGCTCTGAGAAAGAAATCCCAAAGTCATTTCCACTAACCTTTCCCATTATTTAACAACTTTTCCTATTAAAGAAATTGTCTTCATGCCCACCTTTACTCTTTCATGCTACCGGGGAGCTCATTTCTTTTTATTTATTTCTTTTTGTTATTTTTTTTTTTTTTTGGTTGTAGTTGGACATTTATTTATTTATTTTTATGTGGTGCTGAGGATTGAATCCAGTGCCTCGCACATGCTAGGCGAGCATTCTATTGCTGAGCCACAACCCCAGCTCTGAACTCATTTCTTTTTGAATGATGTTTGGTAGCATTAAGGATTACTGTTCTCCATAATGTTCTTTCATAGACAATACTCAAAATCCATCATGATTTTCTTTGTTCATTGTTAATGAAACTACAGTTCAACTGAGTATACATGTACTAGTGGAGATTCCGCCCACTGTAAACATTTACCGAGAAACTGCTAAGTGCCAGTCCAATTATTTCCCTCTTCTGCATTCTCCACCTTCCTTCTCTTCCCTTCATCTCCTTTTTTGGGGGATCCCCTTTCTGTTCCCCTCTTTGTTCTCTTGCATGAGAATCAGAGTGAAGAGACCAGAGTTCTGGAGGGCGATGGAGGAAGAAGTGACTCTGAGACTTCTTTAACAAAATCCTGGCTTTGAGAAGGGCCCTTCCATGTCTACCCTAATTTCTCAGAAGGTTATTGCAAGAGTACTGCCTAGAGAAAAAGCATAGTATAATTGTAAATATTTGAAATGTACACTGGCTGGTATGATTTTATTTCTTAACTTCCCACTAGGGAGGTGCAAATGGAATCCTTAATGATTTTTCAAAGTTGTGAAGAGTCCCGAACAGCAGGAAGAGCACCATGATTTATTCCTAAATGTACAGACACAGCATGTGGACAGCTTTCACCAACACACCTCTGTCCTTTCTACAGTACTGCTGTGAGGTTCCCATCTGAGCGAGCCCATATCAAAAACAATGAAAACTCTATAGAGCCATTCAATTTCAAATGAAGTTTTTAGTTTGTATAATCAAGACCAGTACAATCCTGTAATTTGACAGCCACCATGGGAGGACCCAGAATCTCACCTTGACATTGATCTGAACTCCAGAATAAGAAACCGAAGTGTTATTCTAGCTCTTAACATTAAAGTCAGGCCACTGTCTCACTGAGTTCCAGGTTTCCCATCAACAATGGTAAAATCAACAATCTTTACATGAGTGTATATTGTTTGCATTCTCTGGCTTAAAAAAATATTTGTTATAGAAATGTAGAGATGTGAAAATTTTTTATTAACATTACAGGGATAACTGAAGCCAAGATTATTGCCTAAAAACTGTTTGCTTTAATTAAATGTTTAGCTACCACACATCGAGGTATTAAGTAGCCACATGTTGCAGAAAAGAAATATGAGGGCTGGGGTTGTGGCTCAGTGGTAAAGCACTTGCCTAGCATACATGAGGCATTGGGCTTGATCCTCAGCACCACATTAAAAAAAAAAAACTAAATAAACACATTAAAGGTATTATGTCCATCTGCAACTAAAAATATTTTTATTAAAAAAAAGGAATATGAGCTAAGAGTAGTTAAGTAGCTCAAATTTTGTAAGAATTCAGATCTTTCCCTCTGAGTGCTGAACCTAAGCTTTTCTTTTTTTTTTGTACTGGGGATTAAACCTAGGGGTGCTTAACCACTGAGCCATATCCACAGCCCTTTCTTATATTTCTTAGAAGCAAAACCTTGCTAGGTTGTTTAGGGCCTCACTAAGTTGCTAAGGCTGGCTTTGAAAATGCCATCTTCCTGCCTCAGCTCCCCAAGCCACTGTGAACCTATACTTTTTTACATGCAAAGCAACTTTAAATATCTGCTCTGATTTTTTTAAGATATGGAAGTTAAAACTTCAATTTTTTTTTCCTTCAGTACTGAGAATCAAACCCAGGGTCTTATCTTGTGCATGTTAGTCAAGCACTCTCAATGAGCCATATCCCCAGCCTTTTCTATTTATTTTTTGAATTTTGAGACAGGGTCTCCCTATGTTGCTCAGGCTGGTCTTAAGCTTGCTGTTCTCCCTCCTGTGTGACTAGGATTACAGGACTGAGTCACCATACTCAGCTTCAATTTTTTTTCAATAGACAAAAATATGGGCATAGATAAAATAAGGGTTTGAAACAAAGACACACATGTACATGGCAAAAATGCTTGCCATGTATTTGGATTTGATGAGTACTGGGCTCATAAAAAAGAGTTGCATTATTTATGTTGGCCAGAGAGCAATAAACTATCCATAGTTTTCATTAATAGGGTGCTGAGTCTAACTAATTCACAATAGCTTTATTCATTTCAAACCCAGTGTACTAGGTTTTCCTTGTTTAAAACGAACAAGTGAATAAAAAAAAGAATAAGAAAGTAGAGAGGAGTGATTGTTGGGTAAGGGGTTGAATGATGTGAAAACTCATATATAAATTCCTAAAGCAATAGAACTTGAAGTCAGGACTATAAAGCTACATTAAGCACACCTATTATGTCTTGAACCACCCCCTGGAAATACATTAATCTTGACAAACAGTATTCCTTACAGATCCATTAAAGTTAACATCCCGATAAAGGAGTTTTGAATTATATGAAGTGACCATTTAGTCAAAGAAAGGTCATGTGTTGAGATTAGAAAATTATCTTCCCATCTACTGATATTGCTATGCATAGTTAGGAAGGTGTTATGAGAAAACATTTAGTCTGGCCATTTATCTCCCCTGAGCCCTTACAACTTCATCATATTAACTTTTAAGGATATGCATGGGGTGAATTAAGGACAGTCCAGGAGAATTATTCATCTCTGTGTTTCACTGGCCATTTTTAGTCATGTGTCGTGGAGAGGTTTGTTGACCAGTGTGAGAGCAGTAAAGCAGACAGGCTTCTCTCCTAGAACTAGCTGTACTGTGGGTAGTTATTTTGAAGGGAGATATTATCTCCATTTACCTTCAAACAAGTGAAAACATGTTCCTTACAGGTCTAGGGTGAAAGAAAATACAAAGAAGAGAAAGGAAGACAGACAGGATATTCAAACACTCTATGGCTAGACACTAATAACCATTTGCCCTCAAAGGCAGTACCAGAATCCAGTGACTATCAGAAGTTCTGGCCATCTCCATGATGGTTAAATGAATTGGTCTTGTCCCATTCCCAAAATATTCACTTTTCTAGGTAAATGGCATATCCTCTGCTAGAAAACATTTTTCTCTATAAGGGACTATATGCCTGAAAACATCGATTGTCTTTGTCTACCACATCTGTTTCCCAGTAAAGGCCCCATTATGTAATACATAGTATAGAAAATGGCATAATAACTTTGTGCAGGGGCAAGCAAGAGTGATGGAAATGAGGCAAGGAGTAGGGAGGTGGAATAAGAAGATATATGATAGTCCTGCTCCTCCTTGATGAGTCTGAAAATAGCCTTGAATAACTTTATAATCACCTCACGTTCTCTCTTCACCACAACAACTTGAGAAGCATAATATTTCTGACTCATCACACATTCCAAATTATGATAGCTATTGTCTCTCATGAGAATTGCCTAATCACAATTGATACTTCCAAGCAGTTCAACTTCTATTGTTCTATACCTGAAACTTGACAAATGTGGATCTTCTCCAGAAAATGAATCATCCTTCATTATTTCCAGTTAGTAACTAAAAACAATTATTAAAATCACTATGGGGTAAATGCTGGTGACATAACAGCTATATATTAATGTAAATTATGTATAGACTCTGTGCTAGTCACTGCAGGGATAAAAGGATGGCACMGTGATCCCTGTCCACCAGGAGCTCTACTAATGGAGGAGACAAGACAGTTAACCCCTGCCCACAGATAGGGGAAAACACAAAATGCCAAGTTGTTCAAAAATTAGAATGATCATGTGTGCTTGAAGTCATCGTCAAACACTTCTGGCTGCACGGAGATGACAGGATTTTGATGGAGGGACAGAAGTAGGGAGTACATTCTAGGTGGAGAGATAGCCATAACAAATGGACTAAGAAATGACACCTGTTTGAGAACACTCAATATCCCAATTGGCTAAAGCTTTAGTTTAAGCATATTGGAAAAGGAGAGGGCTTCCAATTTAGCAACATTATTTGGTACTTATCTAAAATTCAAATTAAACCAAGTGTTTTGAATCTGGAAACTCTCAGGGCACCTTGGATTCCAAGCTGAGAGTCTTTACCTCATTAGCACTTTGGAATGGGGGTGCATTAGTGTGATCACATTTGCATTTTGGAGATATTATTCTGGTAGGAGGTTTGACCTGGATCAAGAAGAACAGGAGGTGAAATAATATAGGCAATTAGGAGGCCTATGCTACAGCTTAGTGTAAATAAGTAAAAGGTGTCCTTTCCTCCAGAGCACACTAATCCCCATGTGTCTCAAAGAGCAAGGGCTGGATTTCTCCTCCTCCTTATTCTCTTGAAAGATGACCCTAGGCAGGAAGTCCTCTGTTGGGACATTCCAGGGGGAAGTCAGCAAAGGTCACAGCAATGGTTAAAACAGGATAAACAGAAAACAGATGCTAAGCTGATTTGAAAACCACAAAGGTTTAGACACTTCAGAGCTACAGTTCTGTTGACCCCTTGGGGTTTCCAAGACTTTTTCAGGGACTCTGGTTAGTAAAAATGAATAGGACAATAAAACCA